GTTGCGGTGAGCCGAGATCGCGCCATTGCACTCCAGCCTGGGTAACAAGAGCGAAACTCCGTCTCAAAAAAAAAAAAAAAAAAAAAAAAAGTGTCTGGGATTCCCTGCTGTAAAATTCGCGATAATCTACTCAGCGCTCAGTCACAGGTTTATTTTTGTGTCACTAAAAGAGACATTTGCTGTAAAACAGCGTGGGATGGTGGTTAAGCGACTCCGGGGACCCAAGGCTCATTTTTTCCATTCGCTGTCTCCGCGATCTTGCTCTGCCTGCGCCCGCCGCTACCCTCGCGCCTCCTCTCCGCCTCTCCACGCTGGACTCTCCTGAATGCCGCGGCTCTTCCCACCGTGAGCGTTTCAGATGAAATGTGGACATTTCCGATTAAACGGCCCTGGGTCCGCCCCGCCCGGGACAGCTCTCCCTGGTCCCAAGCCTCGCAGCCACGCCTCCACCAGCGCCACCTGGACAGGAGCGCGAGCGTGGAAGACCTCTCGGCCCCTCACCTGGATGCCATCGAATTCGGCCAGGTGACCAGTGAGGGCATGGGAGCGGCTGTGGGGCCCAGGCTTTGAACGCCCCAGAGTGCGAGGCCTGAGGTTCGCCCACCTGTGTGTCCGCTGACTGTGCGGTCTGCCTGCCAACACCCCCACGCACGAGCGCACGCACGCACCCTGGGAGCCCGCGGTTTCCGTCCCGAGGGTATCGTAGCTCGCTGCTGGTCCCCGTGGCCTGACTTCTAAAGTAGGGTGATCTTCCTGCGGGGCAGGCGATGCGGGATCCACGAGTTTCCGAGCGGCCCCAGGCGCGCGGGCGCCGCCATGTGCCGGTGGGCTCCCGCCCTGCGCGGAGCGAATCCCTCCCGGCCTTGACCGCAGTCTCGGCTCTCCGGACCGAAGCGGGCGTGGGTGACCGAGGGAAGCGCGTCCTCCCGGCCGGGGCCGCAGGCCCCGCTCGCTCCTCCTCCCCACCCAGTCCACGCGGTCACCGCTCCGGTCTCTACCGAGGCGGCTGCGAGCGGTTTTCTCGTCTTTGGTGCACCGGACGCGAAGTTTTCGAACCCTGAGCGACCCCGGAGTGGCGCCTGTACAGGCCGCGGCCCCACGTGCGACGGGGACTCGCTCACGGCTTTTTGAGGCCCCTTCCGCTGGAGAGGGGGCGCCTGCGACGGGGGCGTGCGCGGAGGGGCCGGGCCGCCTCCGCCTGTGCTCAGGCCCCGAAGTGAGCCTCGCGGGAAAGACCCAGGCGCGGGCGGTCCCGAGAGCCCCGGGGGCCCCTCCTGCGCCCGGGCGCGCCCCCACTGTTCGCGGAGGCCTCGGGCTCCCTTTCCACTCCTCGCGTAACAGCAGGAGTGAATCAGTCGGAAGGCCAGCATTCGTTCGGTGTCTGTTTTGTTTAAAATAAGTTTTTTCTAAAGGCTTGAAAGCGAATCTTGGCAGGGAGAGCCGTTAGGCCCGGGTCACAAGTACGGCCGTCCGCGCTTCTCTGTGTTAACGCACGGAGAGGAGTCAGAGCTTGCAGCGCGGAGGCCGCGGGGACCCGGAGGCCGAGGGCGCGGAGCCGCCAGGCGCGGAGCTGTGGACCCCACGCTCAGCGCGCGCGGGGAGCACGCCACAGACACGCCAGGCGGGAAGGGGCGCGGTAGTGCCGTCGTCTCCCCCCGGAGAGAGGGACAGAGACACAAAGGCGAGTCCCTGGCAGGAGCGGGAAGAACGGAGGGGAAGGGAAAAACGCTCCCGGCGAGCGCGCGCAGACGCTAAGTGAGCGGGGTCGCGGAGAGAGGGCGCGCGGGGCTCGTGAACCCGTGATGAAAAAGGAAGCCCGCAGCGGGTCTGACTCCTCAGGAGATGAGAAAACGGCAGGGAAGCAGCCTTCCGCGGCGGGTACCTGGGAGGTGAACAAAGTCACTCCGCCACGGTTCCGCCTCCCAGGAAGGCAGGAGTAGGTTCGCGCATCTTCCACTGTTTTTCAAGGAACAAAAGCAGAAGCAGGCCCCAGCGAGAATTGAACTCGCGACCCCTGGTTTACAAGACCAGTGCTCTAACCCCTGAGCTATGGAGCCAACTACGGGTACCGCCTTCGCGCACAAGCAGTTGCCGCCGTCGCCAGCGTTGCGCAGCCGCAGTCCGCCGAGCCCGGCCGAGCTCCGCGGCGGCTGGACCCAAGCTCCGCCCCCGGCCTGAGTCCCGGGAGGAAGCTCCGCGCAGACCGCGCTGGCGTTGGGCGCTGGCGTTGGGCGCGGGCGCGGGCGGCGGCGGTCCGGTCGGGTCGGGGCGGAGCCCAGCGCGGAGGGCGGCGCGGGGCGCGCGGATTGGAGAGCCCGCGTCGCGGCGTGTTGTTGGTGAGGCCCCTGGGCCGGAGGTCGGGGCTCTGCAAGTCACGGAGGGGTGTGCGCACGCGAGCGGGGGGCCCGGGGCCGAGCAGGTCGGGCGCGACCCGGAGCGAGCGGGCAGTCAGTCGGGGAGCAGTGGAGGCCGAGGGGGGTGGGGAAGCGGGGAATCGCGACGGCTGGGCGTTTGGAGGCGCTGGGGCAGAAGGGTCTCGGTAGGGTTGCGGGGGGGTGCTAAGGCCCCTGGGTTCCCCCGCGTCTGGATACTGAGCGGCCCCGTGAGGTTCTGATGGCAGAGGCCTGGGCTTATGGCTCAGCAGCTGGGGCCAGCGGGTGGATAAGAAGGGCCCAAGTTAGGCCAGTTGTTCTCACAGACCCAGAGATCTCTAGAGTTCATAACGCCCAGAGTATAGGAGAGGGATGTGTATACACGTGTCCTCACACCAGCATCCTGACATCCAAGTTACTGCACTGCTCTGGTGACCAAGAAAGAACATCTCTTCCCTTCGACATGCAATTGTTACAGTAACTGTTGTTACATTTCTTCAGATATATAGATATGTATGTAGTTATTCTGCAAACACACACTCTCAGACACACGATTACACCCATGAACACAAAAACTGAAAATATACATGTGGAGAGCTACTCCCAGTCCCTAGACCTGACCCTTATGTGGTGCCTCCACCAGACATTGCACCTTCTGGGACCTGTCATGCGTTCTGATGCCCGGTACATTTATTGGATGGTACAAAGGGAATTATGATACTTAATCAAAAAGCCATACAAGCCAGAAAACATTAGCGCTTAACAGTAACAATAGGTGATTTAGTTAGGAAATGAATGTTAGAGATTGGTTTTCCTTACGGAAATCGGAGGTATTCAAATGCCGGAATTGGCTACCAGGTTTTAGAGGTGCTCTGCGTGTATACGCAAGACATAGGATTCATTCTCTGGGATGCTTCTGTAGGCAGGACTTTTAATTGGTCCTGTCCTCAGCCCAGAGGATACAGTATTCTGATTATCTGGTGCTGTGTCAACTGGGCCTGCCTTTGGTAGTGTCATGCCTGCCCCTCGAGAACCCTATGTGCAAAGTGAGCTTGAAGCATCTCAGAGACACAGCACTGAAGCTCCATGACACAGGGCAGTTCAACTGTCATTGTCCCTGCTTGCCAGCACATCTGTCTAAATAACCTGTGTGGACAGAATTAGATCTGAGCCTGGTATTCTGTTCATCCAGCCTGGTAGCCAAGTAGTGAGCAAAGAAGCCTGTGGCCCTTGCCTAAATAGAAGGTGGTTAATATTTAAAAACAAATCGACAATAGAATATGACCAAACTGACTTCGGTCTGTTTGCGATACTTGAACCTTATGCCATGCTTATAAATGCTCTCTCCAAAATACACACACACATACACACACACACACACACACACACACACACAAGAAAGGTGAGATATAAACACACACTGCTCCTACATATAAACATGCACACTTACTCACTCTGGCAGAAACCCTGGCTCATACTTATGCTCTTGCACTCGGATCTAGGGAGCAGAAAATGAGCCAAGCTAACTCTAAAGAGAGTTCATAGTCTTCATTTTCGTCTCCCCACCCCCTTCCCAGGGGAGCACTGAGCAGGGAGCAGCCCACTGCCACCCTTCCAGAAGCCCAGCTATCCAGAAGCTGGAGAACAAGTAGACAAGGGCTGAGGTTGGCCAGGGGAATCCCCTCCAGCGCATAGGCTGAGAAGGCCTTGACAGCAGGGTGCTCTGCTGTTGGCAGTTTCCTGAAAGAGTCTGTCAGGATCATGTTTGTGCTGTTTGTGCGTTGTTCAGAACTGGCTGCATCTTTAAAATTGTAAGTACTGGCCGGGTGCGGTGGCTCACGCCTGTAATACCAGCACTTTAGGAGGCTGAGGTGGGTGGATCACAAGGTCAGGAGTTAGAGACCAGCCTGGCCAAAATGTTGATAACCCCGTCTCTAATAAAAATACAAAAATTAGCTGGGCGTGGTGGCACGTGCCTGTAATCCCAGCTACTCAGGAGGCTGAGGCAGGAGAATCGTTTGAACCTGGGAGGTGGAGGTTGCAGTGAGCCGAGATCGCGCCATTGCACTCCAGCCTGGGTGACAGAGTGAGACTCCGTCTCAAAAAAAAAAAAAAAAAAAAAAAAAAAATTATAAGTACCATCTTGTGTTTTGTGTTTCAGAGTTCCAGAAGCCAAAACAACAAAAAGCAGTTCAGGTACAGTGGCTCACACCTGTAATCCCAGCCCTTAGGGAGATGGAGACTGGAAGATCACTTGAGGCCAGGAGTTCAAGACCAGCCTGGGAAACATAACAAGACCCAGTCTCTAAAAAACAGTTAAAAAGAGGCTGGGCACAGTGGTTCATGCCTTTAATCCCAGCATTTTGGGAGGCTGAAGAAGGTCGATCACGAGGTCAAGAGATCCAGACCATCCTGGCCAACATGGTGAAATCCCGTCTCTACTAAAAATACAAAATTATCTGGGTGTGGTAACAGGCACCTGTAATCCCAGCTACTCGGGAGGCTAAGGCAGGAGAATCACTTGAACCCGTGAGGTGGAAGGTTGCAATGAGCTGAGATCTTGTCACTGCACTCCAGCCTGGTGACAGAGTGAGACCCTGTCACAAAAAAAAAAAAAAAAAAAAAAAAAAATTAAAAAGAAAAAATAAAGTTCCAGAAGCTTTGATCTCCTTATCCCAGAAGTGTTTATACTTTGGCACTGGAAAGTGGGGGAGTCAGGTGTTTGTGAGAGCACATGCTGGTTGTTGCTTTGGTCAGGACGCACCCATCACTGTATCTTCTGGCTAAGAGTGCTGGAGAGCTGTGATACCCAATGGCTGTTGTCCTGGGCTTCTCTCTCACAGACTGTCTAAGGACCTCCTTCCAGTTCTGGCCTAGACTGTCCTCTGAGCTGGGAGCACAGGGCTCCTCCCTGAGTAGATGACCTGTCAGGCCAGCTGGATCCAGAGGTCCCAGAACTTCTCAAGGCAGAGCTGGCAGCTATCCAGAAGGCAGCAGCCATGGTAACAAACCTGGCTGGCGGGGGCCCAGACCTGTCCCCTGGCAACGGGAAACAGCAGGACTGGCTTTGACATTTTTTTAGGGAGTCGGATGCCTTTCCAGTCAGGGCAGAAGCCCTTTGGAGAGCTGGGCTCCCGACCTCACCAGCCTCCACCTCCTGAGGGCTCTGGCCAAATCCACATGTGTCCTCAAGAAAGAAACCCCCAAGAGTCCAAAGTCTCTCTTCCCCTGCTCAGTTGGCCGTCGTCTCAGTCTCCTGCCTCAGGGTTGTGTCTATAGCAGCCAGGATCTGGAACAGGGAGGGCAGACCCAAGATGGACCAGGGAGCTCTGGGGAGGCGATATCCCTTCCCACCGGCAGCCCGGAGACAGCAGCTCCCCAGCAGTGCCGCTCAAGGCCAGATTCGCAAGTAGGTGCCCGTGGAGCAGACAGAGAAAAGCGGGAACACGCGCTCCTGGAAGTTGACACGGAAGGTGTAGAGGTGGCGCATGTCCTCCACGGCGTAGAAAGACACGGCTCCCACCTCCAGGTCCAGGGCCACCCGCACACGCGACAGGTGCCCGCAGCTGAGGGGCGACCTCTCGGGGCTGGTCACGGCCCAGTACCGGCCGCCGTTGAGCTGCAGGGCCCAGACGCCCTCCTCGGGGGTGAAGGGCGTGAGGCCCTTTCGGCGCACGCTCTCCCGGGCCACGCCGAAAGCCCAGCCGTCCTTCGAGCCCACCTCCACCTCCCAGTGGTGCCGGCCCGAGGAGAAGCCGCAGGACGCCAGGACGCGCGTGTTGGTGTCGAAGCGGCGGGGATGGTTGGGCAGGTCCTGGGCCCGCTCGCCGAGACGCACACTCTTAAGATCCAGAGAGAGGATGAGGCGCGGGTTGGCCGTGTCGGGATCCAAGGTGAGCTCCACTGCAGGCAGAGACGGGGAGAAACGTCCCCACGAAGGCTTGGCACAGTCTTTGCAGGGCCCGCCCGCCCCTGCTTGGCAACCTGCGTGCCTTTCCCTCGAGAATCCTCCCAGCATCCAGCGCCAAGTCCCAACCAGCCCCCACTCTCTGCCTCCCAGCTATTTTGCTTCCCTCCTCCCTCACCACTCAACAAATACTGAAATCAAACAAATGGAATGTATGGGCCTGATCTGAACCCCAGTTCAAACAAATCTGAATGCTAGACATTGGAAAGAATCATTAATCTCTCCAGGTACGATGACTGCTTTATGGTTATGTTTTACAAACTGTTTCTTTAGAGCTAACACACTGAAATATTTATGGCAATAATATGTTGTCTCTGATGGGCTTTAATACAGTGGGGCCAGGCACCTTGACTCCCGCCTGGAATCCCAGCGCTTTGGGAAGCCGAGGGGGAGGATCGCCTAAGGTCAGGATTCGAGACCTGCCTGGCCAAAATGGCAAAACCAGTCTCTACTAAAAATATAAAAGTTAGCTGGGTGTGATGACATAGACCTGTAGTCCCAGCTACTCTGGAGGCTGAGGCAGGAAAATCGCTTAAACCCAGAAGGCGGAGATTGCGGTGAGCAGACATCATGCCACTGCACTCCAGCCTGGGAGACAGAGGAAGACTCCTGTCTCAAAAATAAAAATAATAATAGGCCGGGCATGGTGGCTCATGCCTGTAATCCCAGCACTGTGGGAGGCCAAGGCAGGCAAATCACAAAGTCAGGAGATCAAGACCATCCGGACCCACCTGGTGAAACGCTGTCTCTACTAAAGCTACAAAAATTAGCTGGGTGTGGTGGCACATGCCTGTTGTCCCAGCTACTCGGGAGGCTGAGACAGGAAAAGTGCTTGAACCCGGGAGGCAGAGGTTGCAGTGAGCCGAGATTGTGTCACTGCACTCCAGCCTGGTGACAGAGAGAGACTCTATCTCAAAAAAATAAAAATAAATAATAATAATTATTATTATACAGTGGAGGCTAGCCGAGATGGCTCACAGCTGCAATACCAGCACTTTGGGAGACCGAGGCCGCTTGATCACTTGAGGTCAGGAGTTTGGGACCAGCTTGGCCAACATGGCGGAAACCTTGTTATGTATTTTCTCTACTGAAAACACAAAAATTAGCCTGGCGTGATGTCCTGTGCCTGTAATTCCAGCTGTTTGGGAGACTGAGGCATGAGGGTCACTTAAACCCAGGAGGCAGAGATTGCAGTGAGCGGAGATCAGGCCACTGCGCTCCAGGATCTCACTCTAGAGCAAGACCCTGTCTCAGAAAATAAAAGAATCCCATGAGAAGTGGATAGCAGTGTCTATGGACGCTATGGCCACTAATTGACCACTGCTGAAGGTGAGAGACGGGTATGTAACCTTCTTTATACTCTTCTCTCTACTTTTGAGTATGTTTGAAATTTCCCATGATAAAAAGTTAAGGCCAGGTGCAGAGGCTCATGCCTGTAATCCCAGCACTTTGGGAAGCAGAGGTGGGAATACAGCTTGAGCCCAGGTGTTGGAGGCCAGCCTAGGCAATATAGTGAGACCCCGTTTCCACAAAAAAGAGAAAATTCAGCAAGCATGGTGGTGTGCTTCTGTAGTCCCAGCTACTCGGGGCGGCTGAGAAGAGAGGATTGCTTGAGCTTGGGAGGTTGAGGCTGCAGTTCTACTGCGCTCCACCCTGGGCAACAAAGCAATACTTTGTCTCCAAAAAAAAGTTAAAATACGTACACTTATTGTGAGCACTACTACCGTCCAGGCCCTGGGGATAACACCGAGTATCACAGTAGTTCGGCCTGCCTCCAGCTTCCTTCCGGCACAAGAAGGATTGTGGATAGATGATAAACATAGCAGATAAAAGGGACCAAAAGAACAGGCTGTAACTTCAACCGGAGTGGCCAGGGAAGACCCTCACTGAAAAGGGGCATCGAGCAGACAGATATAAAGAAGGCGAGGAAGGCTGAACGTGGTGGCTCACGCCTGTAATCTCAGCACTTTGGGAGACCCAGGCAAGCGGATCACAAGGTCAGGAGATCAAAACCATCCTTGCCAACATGGTGAAACCCCATCTCTACTGAAAATACAAAAATTAGCTGGGCGTGGGGGCATATGCCTGTAATCCCAGCTACTCGGGAGGCTGAGGCAGGAGAATCGCTTGAACCAGGGAGTCAGAGGTTGCAGTGAGATGAGATTGTGCCACTTCACTGCAGCCTGGCAACAGAGTGAGACTCCCATCTCAAAAACAAAAACAAAAAAAAGAAGGCGAGGAAGCGAGCCATGTGACTGGCTGGGGAAAGCATGTTCCAGGTAGGGGGCTGGGGCGGGGGAGCCTTGCAGTGCAAAGGCCCCGAGATGGGTGTGTGCTTGGTACACTTAAGGAGCAGCAGGCAGGATATGTAGCTGCGTGGAGTAGCAGGGGTGTGCAGTGAGGCCCGATCCCTCGGGGCCTGGAGGCCCCCATGAGGACTTTGACCTGTACTAAGTTAGAGGGGCTGTGGCAGGGCTCTGAGCAGAGGAGGGCCTAGTCTCACTCAGGTGCTTTAGGTGTCACCCAGACACACTCTGACTTAGCTCAGACATCAGCATCAGGAATATGTGCCCTCCACCCCGCTCCCCTGAATGCTGGATCCCAAACGCTGGAGCTCTGCAAGACTGAGAACCATATTCCTTCCAGCCTTCAGCCTCCCCTCGCTTTCCTGGTCCCCTGTATACACCTCATCTCTAGGAGAGGTTTCCACCTCTCTTGGAGTGGGGACTGGGGAGCGGCTTGACCAGATGGCCGAGCTGCCTTCCCCAGTCTGAATATCTCGTGGTATGGAGCATTCCTGCTCCTAACCTGCCTGCAGCATTTGGGCCAAGAGGCCCCACTGCCATCTGTGTCAGAGTTCCCAGGCAAGGACAGGGAGGGGTAGGGGACAGAGGGACAGGGTTGCCGAGGTGGGTCGGTGGAAGGAACCGACCATATGCAAAACCCTGAGGTGGTCACCAGCAGGGAGTAGGTTGTCTATGTGGCAGACAGTCCATACCCACCATCATAGCACGATCCCTACCTTTCTCCTCTTTCTCCAGCTCTCCCCGAAGGTCCTCTGAAGAGGAGAAACAAAACAGGGTGTGCATGAGCGACATGGGAGATTCTACGGCAAGGTCACCAGCTCTTTATAGCCCAACTGACTCACTCATTCCTGAGACTCCTGAGGCCAAGAATGAATGTGCAGGCACAGGGCCAAGCATGGGGGGTGGGGGGCAGGGGGCCAATGCCCAAGCATTCTAGCTCTACCTGAGTGGCTCTGAGTTGAGCTCTCCCTACACAGCCATCTTCCTACCCCCAGAACCCCTAGCAGCACCCTCTACCCATCTGTCTCTATGGGAAGCTGCGTGGCCTGGGGAGGGGGCCTGACTAGATTTGCCACCACAGGCCCTACACCAATCTACACCAATCTAGCCATGGCACAGCCATCTCCTATGTCAACACACAGCTTCTGGAAAGCACACCCAGGGACCCCTGAGCCTCTACCACACTATGTGGCCCCGCTCGGTACCCAGGCCCCTACCTTTGAACTTCTTCAGCAGCCCTTTTAAGACAAAGGTCTTGAGGGAAACATTCCAGACTTTATTCTTCATCTCGGAAGAGACTGTGGTTGGCTTGGGGCCAGGCACATTGCTGCACCTGCAGGAGAGGGGCTCTGAGAAGGCCATGGGCACCGTTTTGCTCCCACGGGCTATGACAGTTAGGATGGCAAGGTCTTCTTGGCAGAAAGAGGTAGAAAAGGGAGAACCAGACCCCTTTCAGAAAAACCCATGGCCAGGCAGGCAAACATTTGTCTCGGAAGGTCCCCGGGCAAGCCAGTAGGGGGATCAGGAGGTGAGAACTCAGCGGGTGGGGAGAAAGAGAAGGCTCAGTGAAAACGGAAGAGGCAACTTAGAGAGGCCCCAGGAGCTGTGAGGTCACTCACCTGCTCAGCGTGCTTTTGAATTCCTGGAAGGAAAGGTGGAAGAAACCAAATCAGCATCAGGTAAACTCCATTCGTCTTTGAGAAACAAAGCTTGTCCCTTGCTGTGCCTCCAAGATGTAAGCAATAATTAGGTGTGCCACACCTCACTGGCCGCATGGACTTCAGGTGACAGCAGCTTCCAGGGGCTACTGGCTGCAAGGTGTCTCATCCACACAGTGAACTCCCTCACCCTCTGCCACAGCTCTTCACATGCTTTCTATCTTTTTTTTTTTGAGGCAGAGTCTCCCTCTGTCACCCAGGCTGGAGTGCAACGGTGTGATTTCAGCTTGCTGCAACCTCTTCCTCCCAGGTTCAAGCGATTCTCCTGCCTCAGCCTCCCAAGTATCTGGGACTACAGGCGTGAGCCACCATGCCCAGCTAATTTTTGTATTTTTAGTAGAAACAGGGTTTCAGCATGTTGGCCAGGATGGTCTTGATCTCCTGACCTTGTGATGTGCCCACCTTGGCCTCCCAAAGTGCTGGGATTACAGGTGTGAGCCACCACACCCAGCCGGTTTTTTGTTTTTTAGAGATAGGATCTCACTCTATCGTCCAGGCTGGAGTGTAGTGGCGTGATCATGGCTCACTGCAGCCTCAAAATCCTGGGCTCAACCAATCTTCCTGCCTCAACCTCTCATGTAACTGGGACTACAGGCTCCTAATTTTTTAATTTTCTGTAGAGACGGGGTCTTGATATGTTGCCCAGGTTGGTCTCAAACGCATGGCCTCAAACAATCCTCCTGCCTCATCCTCACAAAGTGCCGGGATAACAGGGATAAACCACTATGCCCAGCTGCTTTCTTTATTACAGAATCATCACTGGCGCTATCCCGTGGACCCAGTGCTGCCTATGTCCTGAAAACCATCTGAGGGAGGTCACAGCCCTTATGTACCTACTGCTCACTCAGCACAGTGATGACTGTTCTTAACCTATCTGTGGTTTGTGAAGTTTGTCTAGTGGTTTATAACTATTTTGTTTTTTAGTGAAATACAATAGAAAACATCAAAGTGTATACACCTAGCAAAGGTATTATTTTCTGAGCCTTTTTCTCAAGCATATGATTCTGAAATATGATATAAATTATTGTGGCTCATAGTCAAGAAAGTTTTATCATGTCCCTCTAGATCTCCAAACCCAGGAAAATCAGGGGGACTTCTTTCCAGTCCCCTTCAGCTCCAGATCATGTGATTCTCCTAACCTCCCAGGACTGACACTGTTCTCTAGCTGCGGGTCCTGATACCTCAGGATAAATGACTCAAGCTCCTCGCTTAGCAAGACTCACCTGGAGAAAGTCAAGGTCAGGCTTTTGAGCTGTCTCCTGGATCTGGCTGCTGAGCTTGGACAGCTGGGTGATCTCATTCCCGAGCTGGGCCAGGTTCTCATTCTGCTTCTGTGTCACCTCCCGGGACAGTTCCTCCAGGCGACCTAGCAGCCGGCCCTCCTGCTCCACTAGGAAGGCCCTCAGCGCCTGGAACTCTGCCCCCACCTTCTCCTGCTCCGCTGCCATCTGCTTCTGTCTCAGGAAGAGAAATTAGAGAGGTAGGGGGCTTGGGCATGGAGATAGAACATTTGGCCAGGGACCTGAGTCATCTCACCGGGCAAAGCTTCGTCCCTGTCACTGCTGGAGGATCAGAGACACGCCATCTATGCACATAGTGCATACTTTATTTTCAATGTCCCAGCTCCAAAGAAGCTATAGTCTCGACACATGCTTTTCTCTCCCTTGCCACAGATGTGCCTGCACATGTCTGTGGACCTGGGCTCCAGCACCTAAAAGCCTCATACTCTACCTAGAAGTACGCCAACCTGCAGCTTCCGTACTTGAAAAGTAGAAGGGAGGCCAGGTGTGATGGCTCACACTGGTAATCCCAGCACTTTGAGAGGCCAAGGCTGGAGGATCACCTGAGATCGGGAGTTCAAGACCAGCCTGAGCAACATGGCGAAACCCCGTCTCTACTAAACATACAAAATTAGCTGGGCCTGGTGGCACATGCCTGTAATCCCAGCTACTCAAGAGGCTGAGGCAGGAGAATCACTTGAACGCAGGAGGCGGAGGTCGCAATAATCCGAGATCATGCCATTGACATCCGACCCAGGAGGCAGTGCAAGACTCCGTCTCAAAAAAAAAAAAAAAAAGGCAGAAGGAATAAATTAGTGCCTCCTGGGGCAACCATAGGATTAAATGGAGATTGCTTTTTCTTCCTCAAGCACATTTACTCCATCACTCTCAAACTTTCACTCTTCACTTTACTTCTTTTTAAAGGCGGTCTTTCCGTTTAGTAATTACAATGGTAACAAATGCTCAAAATACAAACCCTGGGAGATGCAGGAGAGTAGAAAGGAGGAAGAAAAATCCAATGCCAGTGACCAGACGTAGCAGCATACCCCCAAGGAACTAAGTGAGAATATGCTACGTGCAAGCTGGCTATTCTATTCTTTCCATTAACGGCATACGCGGGATTTTTTACTCCTTAGTTTTCAGATGCAGACTCATTCCCTGATCTCTTGATTTCTTTTATGTGAACACATTTGTGGTACTCAGTATGTCCCACCAGGAAGTTCCTCTTCCTTGAAAACTCCTGGGCGGAGGAAGGGAATTCCAGGAAGTTGGGAGACCCGGGTTCAGGTGTCCCACAGTGCCCTCACCTTACCTTCAGCTTCCAGGCAGGCTGCAGTAGCCCTTAGCGCCTTACAGGTATTAACTCCCTCAACCCTGACAGCAGCCCAGTGAGGTGGGCACACTTCCCCTCGAGTCTTACAGGTGAGGAGACAAAGACAGACACATCACCAGAAAGTGTTAAGCCAGGCTTCTAGGCCAGGGAGCCAGACCCCAGAGCCTGAGCTGCTGGCAGCTACATCATATTGCCTTGCAAGGAAATAACACAGGTGAAACAGTATTTGCCAACATACTAGTCTAAACCAGGGTTTCCCAACCTTAACACAGTTGACATTTTGGGCCAGATACCTCTTGATCGTGGGGGGCTGTCCTATGCTTTGCAGGATGTTTAGCCAGCCCTTCTGGCCTCTACCACCAAATGCCAATATCGTCCTTATCCCATTGTTGACAACCAAAAATATAGTATCTCCAGACTTTGCCAGATGTCCCCTGGGGTAGAAGTATTTTCAAATAAGAATATTTCCTCTCCCTTTTATGTTGCAGCGATATTTAGACTCTACCTCTCATGTTTCATTAAGCAGGGTATTGTAAATGACACGAGTATCGTAAATCATAGAAGTATTTTATCACTGTGAAGAATGGGTGGAGCTCATTCTTTATGTAGTCTCCTGTAATCTCAGCACTTTGGGAGACCTGTAATCTCAGCACTTCGGGAGACTGAGAGGAGTGAAGTCTGAGAAGGGGGATTGCCTGAGTCCACAAGTTCCAGACCAGCCTGGGCAACATAGGAGACCACCCTCTGCTACACCTCTACAAAAACTAAATTAAAAATTCGCTGGGTGTAGTGGTGCACACCTGTAGTCCCAGCTACTCAGGAGGCTGAAGTGGAGGGATCACTTGAACTACTGTAGCCATAGTGACAAAGTGAGACCCTTCTAAAAGCAAAGCAAAACAAAACAATAAAAACGAATGTGGGGGTGGATGGGCGGGTGTTGGCAGAGGACAGGGCTGGAAGGTGCGAAGCAAGGCCTGGGGAGTTGGCTCAGAGACCTCCGCTGCCACCAATGCCTGGGAAGGCCCTCTGGTTCATGGATGTCAACCACTGACAGAAGAGCTGTGTTGGGACTGTATCTCCAGCGGAGGAGGGATGAAGGTCTAGAGGGTGAGCTCACGGAGGGAAGTAAGTGATCGAATGGGAAGGTCTGGGATGAACACTGGATGCAGGCGTAACAGATGTAGTTGAGGGTCTGGAACCGACCTTGGGGTGTTTGAACTCCAGGCGTCTCCCCTACCTCTCCTGACATTGAGGCTAGGAGGGTCCTCTCGTTCCTCTTCCTCCAGTTCCCTGCCTTGACAGGCCCTAGAAGGTCCTTTCATTCTTTCAACACCTATTTACCGAACTGGGAACTGAATTTGCAAGGTAGAAAATGACCATTGGTGATTCATGTTTGCCTATCTTCACCAAAATGAGCCCCCATTTCACTTTCCTGTTCTATTCTAAGAAAGAGAAAATATCTTCCAACTTCGGGTGGAGAAGTGCCAGTACCCAGACCCTGGGCTGTGCAGCAGGGGTTACCGTGAACCCAAGACTCCAAACTTCCTCCTTCTACCAGAGCCAGGGGGCAGCCCTGACACCCTCTAGCCGTTTCTCCCTTAGCTCAATTTCAAATCAAAATCTCTGAAAATGAAATTTTTTTTTCACTACTGTTTTGTTGACAAAACATGCCATGAACTGATCTGAGGCTCTTTATTGTATTAATATTCCCGCTTACTGAATATTAATGTTTCTCTGCAGAAATATTAATGTGTTCTACTACCAGATGCTTCCACAGGCCCTAACTGGTATGTTATGTAATATCAGAGTGACTGTACATTCTGATTCACCGGGACAGTTGCAGTTTAAGCCAGTAGTTTTGCAATAATTATTTTAGCACTCTCAAAAGCGCTGGTTTGTGCAATAATTATACGGTCACCCTATATAATATACACTCCATTATCTTTGTGAAATCCTCCCTCTGGTTCCATAGCGCGTACTCTAACACCGCATACCAAGCCCTGATGCTGAGTGGGCCTCTGTTGTCGCCCACAGGGTGCCTGGCTCACCAGGAGCTCCTTGCTCTCCTTCTCCTCCGTGGACCGGAACACCTCGTAGTCCTCCAGCTCCTTCTTCAAGACCCTCAGCCTGGACTCCAAGAGCTCCTGCGGGTGAAGGGAAACAATTTCAGGTGTGGGGAGGTGGGAGGATTCTGGAAACCGGCACCTGTGCCTTCCTGGAGCCAGCCAGGAGAAAGGGAAGCCCCTGCTCACTGAGGGAGAGGCCGGGTAGAAGTCATCTCTACAGGCTGCAGGCCACACTTCGAGGCGACTCTGAGGGCCTCGGGATCTTGCTTCCCCAAGAGCATCTGCTGGACCAGCCAGACTGAACACGAGCCTCCCGCAGCCCTACCTCTCTAGTCGTCTCCTCTGCTCTCCACCCCACCATCAGGAAGCCCTCTGGGTAGGAGAGTTGGAGCAGGACAGGCGAGCAAGGAGAGGCTGGGAACTGCCACCCGAGCCGCCCCGCCCCCACCCCTGCGTACACATTTGCGGGGCTCGGCGAGAAAATAGCAGAGGACGGGCGCCCAGAATCGACAGCCGTGGCACAGTCAGACGGCTCTAAGTGCGCTGCTTAACCCGGGAACCCCAGCCCTGGACCTCTTGGAGAGGTCCTCCAACCCAGTTCCACGAGGTGAGAACTTTGAGCCGAGCCCGCTTCAGGGAAAAAGATAAGATTCGGGGCGGCGGCTGCGTGGCTGTGCCGGAGACTTCCCGCGGGCTGAGAGCTGCGGAGATGCAGACGAGGCTAGAGGCTCCAAACAGACAGGAAGAACATCGCCAAGTCCGTGGGGGACGTCGCGCAGGTGGCCCAGTGTCTGGCTCAGAGGGAAACGCAGCGGTGGTGGGGTGGGGTATTGGTGATGTTAGGGGTGACAGAGAACAGCGCTCAGCCCAGGAACGAGTCCGAGGCTTCCCGGAACAGGCGAAAGAAGGGAAGGGCTCACCCAGGCCTCCTGACTACCCGTGTGTTCTCTGCACCGCGAGCGAGGGAGCCGGGGACCCGAAGGGAAGAGTGGGGCCTGCGCTCACCTTGGCCTCCTGCACCGCCTCGTCCAGCGGCAGCACGGCGTGTTCGCGGTGCTCGCGGGCGCGGTCGCACACCACGCAGATGGCGCGCCCGTCGTCCTGGCAGTAGAGCTTGAGCGGTTCGCCATGCTGCACGCACCGGGCGGCCGCTGCCCTCTGGGACCCGTGCTCCCCCGGGGCGGCCGCGGGCAGGCTAAAGCGCCGTAGCAGCGTGGCCACCGCGGCCAGCTGCCGGTTGGGCCGCAGCTGGCTGGGGCGCGCGGGCTCGCGGCACTGCGGGCAGGGCAGTGGGAATGGCTGCGCGCGGGTCGCGGCCCCTACGGCCCCGGCGCCCGGGCGCTCCCAGCAGCGCCCTATGCAGGCGCGGCAGAAGCTGTGGCCGCACTCGACGGACACCGGCTCGCGAAAGAGCTCTAGGCAGATAGAGCACGTCGCCTCGCCCTGCAGCTCTGCCGCCAGCGCTAGCGCCTCGGCCCCGGTGCCGGGGCCGGTCCGCGGCCCCACCGCCGCCATGTGCGCTCTCCGCTCGCCTAGGTCTGGTCGCGCCCGGGCGGCCACTGGACCTCACAGGACGCGGGTCGGAGCGCGACGTCCGGGCTGGCCGCCGAGTGCCCACTGGGAGAGGAAGGGCGGGGCTGCCGCTGGACAGGCCGAGACCTGAGCCCAGGGCGCGCCGGGCGGGGAGCCGCGAGGCGCGGCGCAAGTCGACTGCGGGCGGGGAGGCACCGGGCCGTTTAAGTGCTGGACAGCGCCCCGAGCCCCAGTCTGCGCGCTCCCCGCGCCCCGCCTCTCCATCGCCCCCGCCCTGACCGAGTCAGCCGCGGGAAACAGACCGCGACAGGTGGGCGCACAAACCCTGCAGGGCGCCGCTCCCGGTTCTTGACCGAGGCCGACCCAGCATCGCCGTGGCGAGGGCCTGGTGCCCGGGCCAAGGTGTCGGGTTCCCCTCGCGCAGGTTCGCCCCGGCCCTGTGCTGAGCTAAGTTTAGCGTCTGGAACCCGGCCCTGTCTCCTCACCCGCAGGCGTGGCCTTGTGCCCACTCCATTTCTGCGACTGTCCTCCCTCTTCTTACTATTTGAACAAATAATACATTTATGATTTTATTCAATATTATTTCCCCCCACCCCAAAGAAAAAAAAACGACAGCGCCCTGCGTGCCCCGTCTGTCCCCACAGCCCCACCGGAGAGCTGCGGGTGTCAGCCACGTCCACGCCCTCCCTCCTGGTTCACTCTGGAGGCCGCTTGCGTCAGGCGTTCCCCCTGCATCCTCCTCGGAAACCGTCAGCGTCACCGGGAACGCCCGCGGTTCTGACCCGAGGGCCTCGCCCCCTCTCATCTGCCCGCGGATGCTGACTCCGTCCCGAGGTCGCCTCTCAGCGCCTCCCAGCACCGTGTCCCCGACCTTCCTTCCTTCCGCTGTTGCCGAACCGCGTGGCCCCTGCGCTGGCTGCCCCCCTTGCATGGACCTCTTTTCTCCCCCCACTTGCACCTCATTCTCCCTCCCGCCTCCTTCGGTTTCAAACGTCTGCGCCCCGAAAGCACACGCTGTGTCAAGTCGCCTCCCGGCGCGCCCGCCGCCCGGGGCTGGCTCTGGGCCTGCACTCTGTCTCCTCCGGCATGTCAGCTCTAACGTGGACGGTACCAGGTCTGCTCACGGCCGAATCCTGTTTTTAGAGCAGTTCTTGGCAAGCTCAGTAACGTTTTCTTGAATTAAACGGGGTTCAGAATTCCGAAGACGAGCCGCAGTTCACGGTGAAAAGCAGGCCCATGGGCTGTGTCCCCCCGAGCAGTGAACTTCACAATCCTGGATCCTGTCAGTCGAACACTCTGTGTTTTACTGCCTCGATCTCTTCTCTTGTTCGGGTCACAGTGCATTTTTGACACCCCGCTTGATGATTTTCTCTCCTTTTTCCACCGCTGCTTAGCCGGGCCTAACTCCTCCCTCTTGGAATCCCCTGGTCGAGATCCGCTGCTGTGGAGTCGGCGGGGGACCCTGGGCCGGGTTTTTGCAGCAGCTGAGATCAGCTCACAGCGGCCGCCGTCCACGCCGGGTGCCGCGAGCTAAGCAACGAATAAGGTCGGTCCAGGAGGAGCGGGCCCCGGAGGTGGGGATGTAGCTCAGTGGTAGAGCGCATGCTTTGCATGTATGAGGCCCCGGGTTCGATCCCCGGCATCTCCAGCGACGTTTTGCACCTTCAATACCTGTTTTCGATTTTCCTTTCAAATTTTGAAATTTAGCACCTTCGCAGAGCGCCAGGAAAAACCCCAGAGGTTGGACGCTGCTGGGTGGAGAAACACCGCGGCGGCCCCTGCCCTCCTCTGGGCCCCATTCATTGTCTTTCCCTCCTGTTTAAAAATCCACACGGTGAGAGCTCCAGTGGCGTCAGGATACACTTGTTTTTCCATCTCTGTGCCGTGAGCTTCATCTCGGGTAGAAAATGGCTTGGTCGGCCGGGCGCGGTGGCTCAAGCTTGTAATCCCAGCACTTTGGGAGGCCGAGGCGGGTGGATCACGAGGTCGAGAGATCGAGACCATCCTGGTCAACGTGGTGAAACCCCGTCTCTACTAAAAATACAAAAATTAGCTGGGCATGGTGGCGCGTGCCTGTAATCCCAGCTACTCAGGAGGCTGAGGCAGGAGAACTGCCTGAACCCAGGAGGAGGAGGTTGCGGTGAGCCGAGATCGCGCCATTGCGCTCCAGCCTGGGTAACAAGAGCGAAACTCCGTCTCAAAAAAAAAAAAAAAAAAAAAAAAAAAAAGAAAATGGCTTGGTCGCTGGTAGGGTGGAAGAAGCAGAAAACAGACATAAGTGGGAGGGACGGTCAGGTTTGAACGGATGACAGAGTTTGAATTTCCCAGGAGTCGAGACACTTTCGTAGTTTTACCACACTCCAAAAAAATCCAAATTCAAACTCGTAGCTGAGTCCAAATCTAATCTAGAATAAAAAATTGCCGAGGGCTCGGTACCGGGCGCCCGGCTAGCTCAGTCGGTAGAGCATGAGACTCTTAATCTCAGGGTCGTGGGTTCGAGCCCCACGTTGGGCGTGGCCAGTTCTTTTACTCCTAGATCTGCGATTATTGGCTATACCTAAAAATACATTTGGCTGAACAACTCTTAGGTAAATAATCTGTTCTGAAGTCTTCTGCTTCCGTGTGTGCCATACTCATGTGGGGGCTCCACAGTTCGTAGTCTGATGTGTATCTAGTGACACGATTAGGGTTTTAAACTCTGATAAAATATACCCAACAAAATTTACCACTTTTTTTTAAAATTGCATTTGAGGTTTGGGGGTACATGTGAAGAACATGCAAGATTGTCGCATAGGTACACACATGGCAGTGTGATGTGCTGCCTTCCTCCCCTTCACCTGTATCTGGCATTTCTCCCCATGCTATCTCTCCCCACCTCCCCAACCCCCATCCCTCCCCCATTTCGCCCCAACAGACCCCAGAGTTTAGGGCTCCCCTCCCTTTTTAACTGTGTAGTTCTATAGCATTAAATACATTCACATCGTTGTACATCCATCTCCAGTCCTTTTTCATGTTTCCCAGCTGAAACTCTAAACCCATTCAACACTAACTCCCCATCCCCTCTGCCCACAGCCCCTGGCAACCACCATTCTACTTTCTGTCTCTATGAATTTGCCTTCCCTAGGTACCTCATATAAGATGAATCATGCAATTTTTTTTAACTGTCTTATTTCACTTCATGTCTTCAAGATTCATCCATATTGTAGCATGTGTCAAAATTTCCTTCCTTTTAAAGCTGATTAGCATTCCATTGCATGTGTATATACCACATTATCCATTCATCTGCCAATGGACACGTGGTTCCTTCCTTTTTTTTTTTCTTTCGTTTGAGACAGAGTCTTGCTTTGTCGCCGGGCACCAGGCTGGAGTGCAGTGGCGCGATCTCACCTCACTGCAATCTCCACCTCTGGAGTTCAAGCAATTCTCCTGCCTCAGCCTCCCAAGTAGCTGGGACTACAGGCGCGCGCCGCCACGCCTAGCTATTTTTGTATTTTTTAGTAGGGACGGGGTTTCACTATGTTGGCCAGGATGGTCTCGGTATCTTGACCTCGTGATCCGCCCGCCTCGGCCTCCCAAAGTGCTGGGATTACAGGCGTGAGCCACCGCGACCGGCCGCTTTTTCTTTCTTTCTTTCTTTCTTTCTTTTTTTTTTTTTTAAGAGTATGCATCACTAAGTGAAATTACTGGTCATATGGCATTTGTATGTTTAAGTTTTTGAGGAAGTGTCATACCATTTTCTACAGAGGCCACGCCACAAAATCACCTTTCAAGTGATTCTCCTGCCTCAGCCTCCCTAGTAGCTGGGACTACAGGCGCCCACCACCATGCGGCTAATTTTTCTATTTTTAGTTGAGAAAGGGTTTCACCCTTTTGGTCAGGCTGGTCTGGAACTCCTGAACTCAGGTGATCCGCCCACCTGAGATTCCCAGAATGTTGGGATTTCAGGCGTGTGCCACTGCACCTGGCCTTTTTGTTTATTTTGTTTTTTGACAGAGTCTCTTGCCCAGGTTGGAGTGCAGTGGTGCAATCTCAGTTCACTACAACCTCCACCCTCCATGTTAAAGCGATTCTCCTGCCTCAGTAGCTGGAACTACAGGCATGCGCCACCACCATGCCCAGCTAATTTGTTCTGTTTTTAGTAGAAACCGGGTTGCACCCTGTTGGTCAGGCTGGGTCTTGAACTCGTGGTCTTAAGGGATTGCCTGCCTCAGCCTCCCAAAGTGCTGAGATTACAGGCTTGAGCCACTGTGCCTGGCTGGTACAAGTATAGTTTTATTTTTCTGTATTTTATACAAAATTTTGTATTTTATTACTGTTATATTTTGAAGATCTTCTTATTTCAAGACACAAAAAATGTCTTCAATCTTTTTTTACTGCTGCACCATATTCCACTGTAGATGAACCATCTTTTATTTAAGAGATCACTTATGGATGGACATTCATATTGTTTCCAGTTTTTTTATGCTACAGTTAATGATGTAGCAATTGTCATTTTACGCTTTTACACTTTATCTGTGGAGGTAATTACCAGAAGTGAGATTTGTTGCATGCAGGTTTACATGCAAGTAATTTTGTAAAATAGGTAAATCGCCCCACTGTAGAACCTACCATTTGATATTACCTTCCACTAGCCATGAATGAGATTGCCTGTTTCTCCACAGTTTTGGGGAAAATGGGCTGCCTTGACAAAAGATTTAAATGTGTGACTCCCCAACTTAAGGTTGCTGGAGTCCCTCACTGGCTGCCTACAGGACATACCCACTGGAGGGCCTACGGGGTGCCACCTGATAGGGAGAAGGACCCTCCCACACCCCTTTACATCACACAGGAATGTACTCAGATAAAAGATTTTGCAGAGTACAGTGTCACTTTTGTTTATAGTTCTTAATCCAATTCTATATGACAGCACTGTTTTTTCTCTTTTCAGGGCTGTTTCTGAAGAGGCTATCAAGTTCTCTTCACTTGCAAAGCCAGGACACCATTAGAAAGGACGGCTCGGTTGTTTCTTACTCTACACATCTTCTTCCTTGCACAGGAAGAATCCAACCAGACATAAGAAATAAAATTTATGGCTGGGTGCAGTGGCTCATGCCTGTAATTCCAGCGTTGTGGGAGGCAGAGGCGAGTGGATCACCTGAGGTCAGAAGTTCGAGACCAGCCTGGCCAACATGGTGAAACCTCATCTTGACTAAAAATTAGCTGGTGTGGTGGTAGGTGCCTGTAATCTCAGCTACTCAGGAGGTTGAGGCAGAGAATTGCTTCAACCAAGGAGGCAGAGGTTGCAGTGAGCCACAGTAAGCTGCAGTGAGCCAAGATTGAGACATTGCGCTCCAGTCTGAGAGACAAGAGCAAGATTTTGTCTCAAA